AATTACATGTTCTCATCTAATTTTAACTTTGACCATTACTATATTCATTTCGAGATATGCTTAGTAATTTATATATAAGAGAGTGAAAATGGTTGAGAAATCATTCTGTGGCGCTTTTTGGGTGGTAAGCTCTTCATTGTATTGATTAATATTACCCCGTCCCATTTTATGTGTCTTATTTCGGTCTGGCTCAATTATTAATGAAGTGGTTGAAAAATGTTAAAGTTTTAGTTAAGATTGAGTATAATAAAGTGAAATGTTTGTGAACCACATATTTTACCCAAAAAAGTGAAATGTGACACTTATTTTTGGAATAACAAAAAAGAAAATGTAAACAAATAAAATGGTGCATTCCAAAGGTCTGATCCTTGGTGCGGTCGATGACCGGACCAAACCGGGGGCACCAAGTCATGTGACACTCTTACGATTCTTTCTGTTTTCTTTTATGACTTTAGGTGGGGAATGTGATTAAGCTTCTAACTCCTCTAGTTTACGCTCCTGCCATTCATGGAGGAGTGTTGTTGGGGTATGTTATCTATGAGTCTATGACTGCACACATTACCACCTGCACCATGGAAAACCATTAACCGGGGTGTCCCATTCTCTGAAGGTATGAATTTGGAAGAGTATCTTATTATTTTTAAACTCTAAAACAACCTTTTGGGTTATTATTTTAATGGAGAGTTGTTTGTCTATGGTAGAGATACCACATGGATCATCACTTCAAGGTCCAGGACAAAGGATATGGAATCACTTCAACCACATATTTCTGGTGCGGTCGATGACTTGGTGCCCCCGATTTGGTCCGGTCAATGACCCGGCAGCCCCAATGCAGTCCAGTCAATGACGGAACGGTCACGGTCTGATCTGGTTTGCTCCGGGCAACGACTTGGTGGTTCGGCCCGATCGACTACCCGACAATTTCAGCCCGGTCTAGTCGACGTCTCGACGACTAGGTTGTCCATGTCCGGTTCGGTCAACGACCCGACAGTCCATGTCTAGTCCAGTTGATGATCTGGCAGTTCCTATCCAGTCCGGTCGACGACCTGACTGTTGGTTTTCGGGCAGAAAAACGCAGCGGAATAAACAAAAAAATACTGCCCAAAAGTAAACAACCGGATCTGAGGTTCTTACTATAGACGAAATTACAAGATATAAGAGGGACTTACATAGTAATCTTAATCAAGGATGTCAGACAGTCCGAGAAAACGATCCCCAGCTCTACCGGTATCCACACGCACGTGATTGGATCGGCCGCAGGGAACGTGCTAGCGTTCTCTTCTTTCTTCCTCTCTACTCTAGGTTTTTAGAAGTGAATTTTAACTCTTAAAATTCGTGAGTCTATATAGCCCTATTTATAAGAGGAGGAAAGAAGGAGTTTTATAGCTAATAAAACCCTCCAAGAGGCCCTAGCCCAATACCATTCGAAACCCTATTTCGAATTGGGCTAATCGGGCTATTTTAATGTTATTAACGAACATTAATGATCCAAATCACTTAGGTGTGTGACCCTGTAGGTTTATATATTATTGGCAGTGGGCTAAAAAATTAATTCAGGCCTCACAAATCATAAGCGGCCTCTAGAAAGGCTTTATGACTATCCAAAATATATAAATGTCAATTAAATATGACATAACCTTTTAATGATTAATTTGTGCTAATAATTCTCTTTTGTCAAACGATATCTTAATTGAGACAAGGTTAGGTCATGTCATCCTTGTTATTCTCAATTAATATTTCTTGATTACCAAGTAAGATTAATTTTGAACAAATGACACCTCATTTGAGCATGGTCATGCTAATTAATCTTACTTGTCAAGGGACCCAATAGATATCTTTCTCTCGCTATACGAGAGTGACAAAAACTATCTTGATAATTCACATATCACTACATGGTTCATAATATGTACAATCACCACCTTTATAATTACCCATTTAAAATAATATTTAATGGTGTTAATACATATTAATTCGCATGCAAATAACCATGATTATCTCAAGTATAAGAATATAGCACCTCATCATTATTGAGGACAACACTGATGACATATAACCTAGCAGTGTCCTCAAGTTGGGTCTGTCCAATGAACTTGTTCACTAACAAGCATCTATGTTATTAACTTGATATCTCTATACCCATGACTAGTGGAATATAGCCATCAGTTAATCCACATAATGGTCTATTAATTATTAATGTCCCAGATTAATAATATTAGACCATGGACAATTAGAATATTATGCTGATTTAAAGTGTAGCATTCCAAAATTAAGTCACGTACTTAATTAGCTACTAAAGATAATATTCAGGGACTAAATATTAATAAAGAAAACTCACAATAATAATTAACATAAAATGAGTTTGTGACTTTATTAATTAATGAGCATTAAATATTCATTGATAAATCATAAAGTATGATTGTCCTAGGGCATACTTCCAACACTGACAATCCTTGTCTGGTCCGGTCGACGACCAGACATTCCCTGTCTGGTCTGATCGATGACCCGGTGGCTCCTGTCCTAGGCCAATCACCGGTTTTTAATTTGTTTCTAAAGTAAAGAGTTTCAACAGAGCACTTCGGTCGCCACCCAATAAGAAATAATGAAAAGAACTAATCAAACTAGCAGTTGGGACCGACCGAGATCAGATGGTTGTAGTCCCAACGTTCCTATACCGGGGATCAGGTACGCTATTTGGGTTATGAGTTGGACTTGGGGTACACACTTTTTGTGTACACACTTTTTACATGAGTCCCAAACATAACATGACAACACTAGTACGGTTCCACTATATATCGAGATGGGACAACGGGACCGAGATTCTTGCCCACCCATAATTTTGGTGTCTTAACTTTTAAATGAATTAAATCAATACCATAACTATACATAAATGCTTCGAATGATCATATTATTCAAATTTGATGTCAAAATTATATGGGTAGAATCTATCCAACCTTAATGAAATGAATAAGGGTCTGTTTGCAATAGCTTAAAAATAGTTCTTCTCGACTTTTGGTTTAAAAAAGTTAAAATTAGTGTTTTCAAGTGACAACTTCTTCTTAAAAAATTGTTTCTTGGCTTTTGGATGAAAAGTGCTTTTTACTTTTTATATTACACGAAAAACACTTATTTTATCAAACACTATCAACTTTTACTTTTCAAAATCTTTTTTTTCTCAAACACTATCAACTTTTACTATTAATCACTTTTTTTAAAATCACTTCAAAAAAATGGTTTTTAAGCAAAAGCATTTGTTGCAAACACTCCCTAGAGGAGCCGTATACCATACAGCCGACTGTACGACTTGCATTGTACAGCCGATGGCATTTTGGTAATTTCAGTGAAATTTGCGACTTCCGCTCAATGAGTATAAATTTACTTGTAATGAGCATCTGATCTATTCTACTGAGTACTGAGAGTCTAATAATGAGCATCGTGATATCGGATCCATATCTTATGATTGACTTTATTTTTCTTATTTTTAAAACATCTACAATGAACTTGTTGGGAAAATGTGTTAAAATTGCATTAAATGGTCATTTTGGGACAATTATTTGAGTGGGGTCCACTTCCGATTTGGGTCGGGTCAAAATGGTTTCGGATTGTCCTTGTTAAGGACTACAATTCGATATATGATACGCTCAAAACGAATAACGGGTGAATGAGAAATTGATTCTCGAAGTTCACTCGTTGAAATGGAAAAACTGGGAAAATGATGGGTTTCTAGTGTGTTTTATCCCACACCGGAAAACTCAAGGGATTTTCACCCCCTTATAAAAGGAAGCTTCTTTTAAGGAGTTAAGATTTCTAAAGGTAAAGGCTCTCTCTTACGTGCAGGGGGGTGCCGATCAAATCCCGAAACGGAAAAGAAAAACCGCGACTCGTGTGCACGGGCGACCTGCGGACACGAATGCCGTCCGAAAAATCATATCATTCAAAGATATGATTTGGTTTTGGTTTCTTCCCGTAACGTTCCTTTATTTTTTTTCAAGCTGGCAGAATCGCTCCGGTATTCTATCCGCAACAGAAGGGCACAACAGAAACCCTCGAGGTATTTTGTCCGCAACAGAAGGGCTCAACAGAAACCCTCGAGGTTTTCTGGTCGCAACAGAACTCTTGAGGTCTTCTGTTCGCAACAGAGACGCTCGAGGTCTTCTGGTCCGTTACAGCAATAAATGTCCAACGTTCTTGTCTTTTAATGCTGCGTTAAATGGACAATTTATGGACGATTCAATGCCCAACGGACTGGTCATTGATGTCCAACGTTCAGGTCCATTAACACCCTATTTAACACACAACAAATCCTCCTATAAATAGCTGGCATGAATATTAATTTAAAATTTATAAACATGTACAGGATTATAGAAGGATTTCAATAATTGGTAATAATTATATTTCCATATAAATACCAATCCGATTATGAGAAGCGTCAAAGGAAAAGAAGACTTGACGAGTTAACCCAGTCTCAAAAAGGAGCTCTTGATAAGTTTATTATTAAAGAAGTTAGAGATGTTCAAGAGGGTGAACAACAAGATGTGAATGTTGAAAATAATGTTGAAATACCTAATCAGTGTGCTTGTGTTGAAACTTGAAAAAAGGCCCAAATTTTATTATTGCACAGGGCCTCCGTTTTCTCGGGACCGGCCCTGTCCACCATCGACCTCAGTTGAGGGCTCCATCATCAGTCATCACAGATCCAAGAGGCGAGCGAAGCGATTCCTATGGCGAGGAAACGACGAACCACACGAGCTGGGGAGAACTGGAGAAGAGATTCAGGCAGTGCGAGCGAAGCCTCCGAGGGACGAAGAAGAGACCCAGACGGTGTGAGGGAAGCCTCCCGGGGACGATGACCTGATTTGCGCAACGAATAAAAAGTCCGATTGTATCGTGTGCACGGTTCTACGGCCCACAAGCTTCTAGACTTTATTCTATAATAATTCCGACAATGACATATGATTTTTTGGCCGTATTAATAGTTAAATAGTGAAGGGGCATTTTAGTCGAACAAGACTTATTGCGTCGGCGGCCGGGGGCAGCAAAATCTTTGCACATTGCACGCTCGCTCTCTGTAACGGTGCGCCGTGTTACCCTCACTTCACGTGAAACACTCAAACACCGAACTGCTGGAACTTTCTCTGCACTTCCATCTACATCGTCCTCACAATGGAATACGACGCCAGTACACCCTCCGAGTTAGCTTTATCCGACACCGACATCTGCTGGGACAGGTATCTTTGCGCTTTCAGGGCGGGGTAGGGCGGCGGTTGTATGAGTCGCAGTTATGCTGTTAAGTGTTATAAACTACTGTAGTCTGTAGCCTTTCGGTTGCGAATGCATGCCTAGCCTAACAGAGCCCCAATAGCTATTCTTTTCAGTTGTACAAAAAGAGCTCTAATAACTATCTGAATGTATGATTAGGAGGAACATGGCTGTTTGTATGCAATGGACGTTTATGAAAAAAGGACCCTTAGGGAACCCCATTTGGGGCTCAAGAATAGTTCTAAATTTAACCCCACTAACGCGTGGTGTTTTGCCTGGGCATGACATTTTGCCCAATTAGAAAATTATATGGTAATTTGTAAGCGGGTCTGATGGCTCACTATACAGTGTTAGGTTGCATTGCTGATATATTTTTCACATCTTCATCGTGAAAGGGGTTTGGGAGAATTTAATAAATACGACTAAAACAAAATATATTTCTTAAATTAAGACCATCCTGTTGTTGAACCAGAAATAACACAGTAGGGGGCCAGAGTTTGAAAATTCAACATAGTTATTATTGTTTATAAATATCTGTACACATATACTCAGACAATCAGACTAGGAAAATTTCAGGGCATGCGAGTATGCGACCCCATCCACCCATTGTCTATGTCGACCACCGGGATCATAATTGTTTTTTCTTGAATGACCTATTCACTCCTAAAATAAGAATCATTAATTCATATCTGTTCAAATGATCCGTCATCATCCATTAATTACTCTTAGTTGCAGTATTTTTTAAAACAATAATCGGTATTGAGATTTCTTTGTCTCTAGGCTAGACAAAGGAAGATTTCATGTCATTGGAGCTATTCTCTTCACAGCCCAGTCTGCTTTGATACATCCAACAGCTGTTGTGAAGACAAGGATGCAAGTGGCTAGTTCCGGATTATTCTCATCACGTATGACAGGACTGTCTGTTTTTAAACACATACTTAAGAATGATGGTATCCCTGGTGTATTTAGAGGCTTTGGCACATCAGCCATTGGATCACTGCCTGGCAGAGTGCTGGCTTTGACTTCACTTGAGGTATCAAAAGATGTCATGCTCAAGCGCACACAAAGTTTGGATATGCCGGAAGCAACTCGTGTTGGCATGTCAAATGCAGTTGCTGGCATGATGTCAAATCTAATTTCATGTGTGTACTTTGTACCTTTGGATGTGGTGAGTGATATACTAAATTAACTTAAGAACCTTGAATGATTCATTTGTTGTATTCTAAAGGTATGTTTTAGTTGTTAATAGATAGAGTATTAGATTAAACTGTGCGCCTTTTGAGAAGAAATAGAAATCATGGATATGCAAATCTAATACAAGTGAGATGGTGAATTTCCAATTTTCTGATGCATGTATTGTGGGGGCCTTGAAAAAGGTTTGCCAGAGACTCATGGTTCAAGGGCTTCCTGGAACTAAACATTGCAATGGGACATTTGATGTTGTACGTAAAGTAATGAAGGACGAAGGTGTGAGGGGTCTGTATAGAGGTTTTGGATTAACGGCTGTGTATCAGTCCCCTGCTTCTGCACTGTGGTGGGGTGCTTATGCTGCTTCTCACCATCTTATTTGGAGGTACGTAGCCACATAGGTCAAGTTATTATTTTTTATCAAGTTGCTACTGTATATTTACATGTCAATTGTTTGTTACGTTACTTACGTAGTATAAGTTACTGATGGAGGATTTCATTATACGCATTTTTTTATTTGTTCAAGGAGTGTGCAGGTATATGGTGATGATGGAATGGTAAAGAAACCATCTGATATGGAGATGGTTACAGTCCAAGCTACTGCTGGAATGTTAGCTGGTGCTTGTTCTTCAGTTATCACAACTCCTATAGACACTGTCAAAACACGGCTTCAGGCACATATTATATGCTTACATCTAATTTGGTTTATCATTTACTTCTAGTTTTCATGTTATGTGAGTGTGATGTCTATGTATGCAATATTAATAAAGCGTGGCAGCATATAGGTTATGGATGGTGAAGGGGGAGGCAGTGGCATTGGGGAGCGACAGCGGCCATCAGTGATGAGAACAGCAAGGGTACTCCTACAAGAAGAGGGGTGGAGAGGTTTCTACAGAGGTTTCGGGCCAAGGTTCCTTAATATGTCTTTCTATGGAGTTTCAATGATAGTAACTTACGAGCTTATAAGTAAGTTTATTTATATTTAGTACGTAGTATATTATATTTAACTATGCTCACCTCTGTATGACTATCAAATTTGTATGGTATTGTTGTTTTGAAATAATAAAAGAATTATTATCAGAGAGGCTATCGGTGAAGCATTCTTGATGAAGCACATGCATGGTTATGGGAAGCATGCACTGATCAGACTGATTCAAAATTAGATCGGTGCGTAATCTGAACTCTGATCTGTAAGTGGCTAAGCTACCTTTGCCCATGAATTGGGTTCTCCGTGTACACTGCACAACAGCATGTAATTTTACTCAAATGATCAAATATGGTTAATGCATTGCATTGTTTTGAGTTAGAATAGCAGCCTGAAGGTATACAAAGATATAGGGAGTAGTGTTTGTGCCCAAGTATATTGCTGATGTATTTGTAATTTACGTTACTCTTTCAGTCATCTAGCTCCTAATTTACACTTCGTATCACATATGGAGTATGTGTAAAATAAACTCCATTGTCGTTGGAAAGGATTACATTAAGAGTGGTGCTACATTTACACCACTTTCGTTTTTGTGCTCATAGGTATGTGCTATAGATGCAAAAAATTCACTGTCCAGAATCCAACCCATTTAACCCAATTCATTAGAACTGACATACATTCAATATTAAATAGGCTACTGTGTTTTACTGGGTTAATGGGGAACCCTATCAATCTGTGGAACCCACATATGCCAATTACATTCTAAAATAGTAATTACAGTGTTACAGGCGTAAAAAGTATCATGTCAAATTGTCAATGTATTACTTGTTGCCTCTTTAAGCCCATATGACTTGGTTCCCATAAGGAAAACAAGTTTGTGATATGCTTTAAGTGTCTTTTAGCAGATAATACTAAATCTAAATTTGAATATAATAAAAATTTATTATATAAAATATTTAAATCAGATAATTAAAAGTGAGTTACAACTGTAAGAATTGTTGTTAGACCAACTTGGAAAAAGACCATTTAAAAAATTCAATCAAATTGCCCTTATTCATGCCAGGAGAAATGGACCATACTTGGTACTCCCTCTATCATATACGCAGTATATATTCTTTAGTTATTTATGCCGCTCCAGAAAGTGTCTTTACTAATAAATAAGCTCAACCACACAATTTTTTTAAAAAGATTGTCCTCCATAAATTTGATCTTAATTTTGCAACAGTATTATACGGAGTACTTGTTTAAATGTGGTCTTTGTAAAAGATGCTCTTTATAAATTTAAGGGAGTACATTCCAATTTCCAAAGTGGAATCTTTTTTTGAAAGAATTCCAAAGTGGAATCTGAAAATTGGTACTACAACTAGATTGTAACTGAAAATAAGAGCAGAATAGCCCTACCTAGAAGGCGAGAACCAGTTCATATTTCATAATAAATCAGAGTTTGAACCGTAGGTTCTTAAATACCAGGTCTGTCTACTCACGTTTGTTATCAAGGTTCTTAATTATTTGGTGATCAGAGAATTAGACTGTCCACCCCTACTCACCGACAAAAGATTCTTTGTACCCATCAAAATAAATTTGCGAGTATATCATACTGAGTCACTGAGACGAATAGAAGTGTAAATACATTGACTCATATTCACTGTGAACTTCATAATATTATAAGCACAGAGTCCCAACATAAATTAATAAACTAAGATCAGGGGGTACAATGGTAAGGATACAGCTGCAAAATGATACGAGGTGGCATACAATGAAAACAGATTGATAGAGGGCAAACTGATTTTAACCAAGCCTAGTGCTGCTGAAGTTGAGGGAAATATAATCTGCATTCAGGAAAGTATTCCAAGAACTGAGACATGAGTTCTGGCGATGGCATGACCTGTCCTTGCAATATAACTTGATGCAATCTTTCTATGAATGAAACCACAGTGCTTTGCAAATCAAACCTTTCCATGCAACCTACATATACGTATGCAATTCACACCAAAAGTGAGTTTCCTTGAAGAATATAATGAAGTCAGTCCCTTCATTGAATGAGGTGCATTTGTCAAGCACAGATATATTATACTGAGTAATTGCCATTATTCTTTTTTAAATTCAGAAGGAAAACTCATTGTGAGAGGCTAGAGCAAGAAATACCTTACTGATTTATTAATAACGGTAAGAATGAGTTATATAGTGAATTTAAAATGCTCATACAAAATTTTTTGGAGTATCTATTAAATTGTGTATTAAGTACCTGAACTTACATTTATGATAAAAAAAATACTTCCATAGTCCTGGGGTCACTTTTACTACAATGTTGAGGATATTTATGTCACACATTGAAGTTGGGGTGCTGACTTCACACATACCCATAGTTTGGGGTATTTGAACTAATTTTCCCTTATTGTAGTTATTGTGATAAATGAAAGGGTTTCTGGTCTTACCCAATTCAATAATATCATACTCTTCATTTTCTTCATCTCCTTCATGAATGGTCTCATTTTCCAATGCAGTTGCTGTCTCGGCATATCTTTCCAAAAACTCTTCTTCAGTTTCTTCCCGTTCATCATCCTCTTCAGAATCCTGACAAAAATCAGCAATGTTCAAGTCTAGATTGTGCATTGACAACATTTTTATTATCTATCAGTATCATCTTGCAGAGTAGAATAAACTAACATCTTCATCATCCTCATCTTCTTCAGTGTCTCCATCACTGCAATCCTCATTTTCACTTTCTTCTTCCTCTCCCTCCTGCATTTCTTTTAGCCTCACAGATGCTTCTATTAGTGAAACAATACAGCTTTGCAGTAGATTACCATCTCCACTTTGTTGGGTCAATTTTGCTGCTACCCTTTCAAGTGCCATAACTGCAAAAAGTGTAAATCACTGAAGTGTCAAAATTTAATCATTAATAAAATAAAATAAAAAAATTATACCAAGCAGTTAGACATGGGGCTAACAAAATTTTAGTTGCTTCAGGTCGAGAAATTCACCCCAAACATGAAAAGTACAGTATACCCAAAAATATGATATTAAAAAATTCCTTTGAAGAAAATTTAAGGCACTAACCAGCCAACTTGAATGAAGACTCTGTTGACAAAGAGTGTTCAAATTTGCTGGTACATATAAATGCCAAAGCAGATGCAAAGACTGTAAATCCATCGCTTTGAATATTCTCTAATCTCTTTGCTACAATATCTGGGCAACACAAGTAACATGATGATATTGCTAGCAGTAAGGGTTTCCATAATGGAATGTGCTTGCTTTGTGTTTCCCTAAAGCGAGTAAAAGCTGCAGTAGTGAGAGACACTGTTAAAGACTGCTTTATGCTCTCTCCTTCTAAAGAGTAATCTGGACCATGTAATAACATATGAACGCAGGAAGATGCTCTCCAAACAGCAGATGTATACTGTGAAAAAGCCTCCGCTACAAAAACACCAATTCCTTCAATAATAGAACGCCTAGGTATGAGTGGGAGTGGGACAGTACGAGATGTAAACTCTCCCACATTGAAATTCTTGACAGCCAACTTTCTAGTCAGATTCACAGCTTCATTAATGCAATCAAAGATAGATAGATCCTCCATCTCCTCCCATGCATGCCAATTAGCTATTAAATCAGACCACACATGCAGTAACTCCATGATCTTTAACTTTGCAATCTCACTCTTTTCAGTAATACCATGCAAAACGAAGGCAAGCAACCTGCTTGCATCATCTACACTTGATGAAGGCAGCTTCGAAGGGCCAGGTTCACATTCCTGATGGTTTCAAAATGTAAAAAGCCAATAAATGATCTGTCAATTAAGCCTTTCTCTCTAATAATATTTCTACTAATATTCATTATAAGAGAGCAAATATCTCCTTCAGTGGAAGATCAAATACTTTCAATGAGGTAAGCATGCAATAAGGCACTATTTGTAATTATAAAATGATCACTGCATGTGTTTATGTTTTGATAAGTGCATACTGCATACTACTGTGGCAAGGAAGTGAAGATAAGAGAGAGAGATAACCATCAGTTCAGCAGATTTTAGCCATGCATGCTGCAGCATTGCAGTAAAGGCTTCCATTAGAGTTCTTTGACCGAGAAGCCACATTTCATCCACATCAGCATTCTCATTTTCATCAGTTGCAGAATCTCTCCAACATTGAGCCATAACCGCTAATGTTGCAAATACTCGTTTAACCACCTATTAGAATTCAAAAACCATTAAAAGATATCTGAAAATCAATAAAGTAAATTTATTTTATTGTGAAAAATTGCACTGGTAAAATATTAAGGTTCTTATTGTGTATCCAGGAAAATGTGTTCCATTTTGAATGATTTTTTTGGATTTAAAGATAGTCAGCCTAGTCCATCTAATTTAAGAGCAAAAGTGGAATTTTGTCAAACATTCACATTGAAATTAAATTCTAATCGGGATACATGAACGTATAAATAAGTATAATCAAATATGCAATAATAAAATTGCTACAGTTATCAACAGGAAATACAAGAAATGTGAAAGTTTAAAGAGTGTGTAAGCATAAAGTCAGCTATAGCTAGAGAAACTTATACTACGTATGAAGCGTGAGTAACACATTTTAAAACTGCACCCAATATATTTGCCTCGCCAAGTCTATTTTAAAATAGAACATTGTACCACTACTAAATCTAATTCCCTTTCCTAATGCCACTACAAAAAATAGAAACAGCTCCCTGAAATAGCGCAGAAAATAGTGTGGAAACCTGGAGGAAAGTAGATTAATTAAGAAAAGCATGTACCTGAGGCCAAGGGTTTGAATCTATAGTTGTGTGATTTAGGATTCTTGTAACCAATAATGTAACTATGTGTGGGATGTGTGGTGCAATGTTTTCATCTCCAGCCTCAGCCAAAGTACTAAGAAGCTGTAAACTGATGGAGGTCTCTTCTTCATCATCACTGATTCTACCCACAATCACTTGAAGAAGTGATAACCACTCAGGTGGCATGTAGCCATTCTGCCAAAATTCAAAATATAAAACTACAATATGACTCTATCTTCCTACTAATATATACAGGAACATTAGTAATGCAACTCTCTTTTACTTCGACAAGTTGGGCAATTGCTCCAGCAGCTGACACCCGCACAGGATAACATGAGACGTCTCCTCTATCTGGTGTAACCAAAGCATCCACCAGTGCCGAATAGATATCAGCTCTCATTTCCTAAAAGTGGTAGTATGGAAAGTATTAAAAAATCAGGTTCGATGAAAATGAATGAACCATAACTTCTTATTATAACATTCAGAGATGTATACTCATGCATCTGTGTGAATAACATAATGAAGCACATTTTATCCGAACTAACTTCAGGGAGACAAGAAGCAAGCTCTCCTAGGACCCAGTTAGCCGAGGCAATCAAATATGGTTCTGGGATAGATGCTCTATACAGTGCAAGCAGTCGAGTCTGAAGAAGAGTAGCAGTATATCCAGGCTTTTCCACCTTTAGAAACTGATACATAAAGGCCAGTTAAATAATTTCTTCTTTAAAACCCATTAAATTAATTATCAATATCATGTACTCTGTAGAAACCTATTACATCAAGAAGGCTTCCATATGCCATTAGAACACCATAGTACCTGCCAAAATTTCAAAAGGTGGAAGGGTTAAAGTTGAAGATATTTATAAAGCAAACGTCCACAGTAATGCATATTTTACAACTGGAAACAAACCCCATTTCAAATTTGAATGGTGTTGACCATAGTTATTACAGAGAATGATCATTTAAGTTTCTAAGGTGAATTCATTTCAACTAACTCATTTACTGTCTTCACATTGGCATCAGTGGGAACAGGAAATTTTGACAAGAATGGAAACACTAGCAGCTCTCCTATTGAGCTGCAAGATGCTTTTTTGCTCTTCTCCCCTTTCTTACGTTTTGATGAATTTGAAGAAACTGGAGGTCCCTGGATGTAAAAAAGATGATTTCAGAGTATTTTGATTCAAAGAAACTGCAGTATTATACAATTATTATAGCACACATAACCAACCTTTGCCATTGAAATAACACCAAGCAAATTAATTGCACTTTTTCTAGCTGTAGACAAGTCTTCTCTCCATCCAGAAATTTCTTCCTTTGGAATTTTTCAAACCTTACAATAAGACAACATCTTGGATCTAAAATATAGTAAATTGATGGAACTCAATAGCATGCACATACAAGCTCAGAAGGAAGATTTTTCCTTATGTACTCCTCTGGATCTTCATCCCACTCTGACATGTCCTACATCCAAACTTTCAGGCCTCAGTAAAGGAATAGTATTTTAAAAAGGCACATTCTTCCTAATTAATGTGCCAACAAGTACATTTAGTAGTGTGGGTATGTGCCTGCATAGGAAGATCGAATAATATAACGAATCATTCTATGAAATCTAGAATATCTGACCTTCGTATTTCTCACTAAAGCTGGGAAGATCGCAGAGTCTAACAGGGAAGAAAAGTGGGGTGAAACTACTCTCCATCCCTGTTCACAAATTCAAGAAGAACACTGAAATAAAAATCTAATGGAGCAGCAAGCTAGAATGTAGTAATTTGAGATATCAACAGAAACATCACTTAAAATTCATGAAAAATGTGAATAAAGAAAACATTATCCTGACGATTTATGTTGTTACTGTTTTCATGTGAATGATCGAATCCAAGTGAAGATGCAGCGCAAGGCAACAACTAAAAAGTCACGCACAACCATTTAAGAAAACAGAACACTTGCCTGGCCTGTCTCCAGAACACGAGAAATAACATCAAAAGCCAATGAAACAACCTTCTCTGACAGAGAATCCAGTTTCTGCACCCAACAACAGATAAAACATAATGAAAACATAAATATGACAATAGTAGTGAGCAAGAAAAGAAAACATCTGATAGAAAAAATTTAAAATGCAAGTATGATTAGGAATAAGAAATTGTTTGTAAAGGAATACTGGAAATCCATATGACATTATCAATTTATCATAGTAAATTTATCATGTATTCCATAATAGGATTGCACTCACACTTATGTTTGTACTATGTTTGACTATTTTAGTGGCGCAGTCCACAATGTCTGGCATGAGTCTGTCAATATAAAAGCACAAGATTATCACAGTTTCCATCATTTCCATCTTATCAAATACAATAGATTTCCTTCTTTGTGATTACTTATCAGAGATTTTCCGGTGACGGGTGACTAGAACAGAAAAAATAAGTAAGCTCCTCTTTCCTGTCTTCAGTCTGAACAAATCGCTTTTGCAATTCACCCCGCCATCAAAACTTAAAGAATTCAAAACTTTTAAAAGATCTCGACAAATTGAAGGAACCAGTGGAGCAAGAGCAGGTGGCATATGTGACCTCACCTATCAAATAAAAAAAAAAGATGAAGATGGTGCTACTCTAATAAGATCCAACAAGATCCACAGTGGTCAAACTAGATCAGTGATTTACATGGCTAATCATGTTTATTCAAATAAATTTGGTGTAGTTATGCAATGCCTAGAAAACATTGAAATGGATGAAGCATATCCTCACAGACAAATAGATGCACTTGGTAAAAATGAGAATGCTGTGTATTTCTGCTTCTGCAATATCTTGGACATGGAGCACCTGTTTCATGCACACACAGGCACACAGCATTGTCAATGCTCTTATAAGAGAAAATATAATTTCTAAAGCAGGCAGGTTTGATAGGGAAACAAATCAGAAATAAACCTTTTCAACAAAGTGATGAAAAACTGCAAATAAGGGTGCTAGTATCTCCTTTGCTATAAGCTCTAGCTGAGGTGGAACAGGCTCCCTCATAATTGTAGGACTCAAGAAGTACTGCGATAAATCACACAAGAGAACTTACATCAGACAAAAAGTGGTTTTAGGTAAAAGTTTTGGTCGGTTAAAAGAAAAACGAGAAAAGGGTCAAATAAGGCCTTCTACTATTATGAAATAGTCACATAAGGCCATGTACTCAATAAAGTGTCATATAAGTACTTCTACTTGTAAAAAGCAATCAAATGAGTCCTAATGACCTATTTAACACCTCTTAATACTGGTTTCAACGTACTTCTGACCGTCTTTTTAGAATACATTATACGACATATGTCGAATATTTAACTAAGATTGGCTGAAATACAAGTCAAAAAAATCGACATGTAAGCTAAAATCGAGATTAGGAGGTGTTAAATAAACCGTTAGGACTCATTTGATTGTTTTATACAAATAGAGGTACTTATATGACACTTTATTGAGTACATGGCCTTATGTGACTATTTCATAATAGTAGAAGGCCTTATTTGACCCTTTTCTCAAAGAAAAACATACTTCACAACCTCCCAATAAGAGAGTGTGTATTCCTTATGAAAGTTATGCATGAGAATGCAGCATTGTCGAGTTTTGGAAGAGTATGTAGTAATCTTAACATTAGATTGACCCTTTAATTACTTCATTTAAATAAAACAATACAATTCCCAAGTTTTCCATTCTTACTTTCACAGAATATAGCTATGGAACACAGGAAATGAATCCATTAAACTATTGTTTATCATTTTATTAAATCTGGTAATCAAACAATTTTAACATCTAGATTCTAGACTGCACACAATATTCTAGTCCCACCGCCCCCTATAATTGTCCCATTTTTTCATTTTTGGATGTCCCCTATTATTGTCCCATACCATATTTGGTAACATTTGAGTGACTCTAATTCATTCTTACTTTATTCCCACTTTATCAACTCATTATCAACCACATAATTCTACTTTTATAAAAAACCACACCACTCCCTTCCCTCCCAATATTAGGGGGACGGAGGGAGTAATAAACAATGGAACTGGTGATAATTAATTATTAAAACTAAGCAAGGAAAGATGTGTTAATTTGAGACCATCAGAAAACTATTACTGAGACGAGGAGATCAATGGGGATCAGGTCTTTAACACATCCATCCTAAGAAATATGTTGCGCACCAATGTGTGCAAGTGATTAAAACACAAGATTGCTTTGATAAGTTTTATATTGCACCCTCTGTCCCCTAAGAGTTTAACGAGTTTGATCGACACATGAAATAATAACGTACAAAATGTGAAGATGTTTATGCAAATGAGAGAGAAATGAAGGGGCCACAAATGAGAAAGTGACAAAGTTTTTGGAACAACCAAAAAATAAAAGATCTTGAACACCTATTACTTTCTTAAGAAAGTATCCTTTAGTGGATAACTTCTCTATTGAACTATATGAGCTAGGTTTCAGCTTTAATCCCTATCCTTTCCAAGTTCTGAATCTGAACGCACAGCTTAGAATATTCTCATATATATGTGTGTCCTTTTCTGGAGAAGTTATCCAATAGATGAAGAACGAGACAACTTCTTATAAAGATCACACCATACTGATAAGTGGTCTTCAATTTAGTGTAACAACAAATACCTGGAATGGTCTGATCAAGGATTGAAGAACAGTGAGTGAGTTGATAGTTTTCCATTCTAAATTTCCATTATTACTAATCAAATTGCTGTTTTGGATAACAGATCTCAGTTCCGGTACTAGTTCTGGCCAGGAGCTCTGGTTAACAAACTCGATAGCTACAATTGAGCGGAACTGAAATCAAACATAAAACAGATTAACATCCTTAGAAAGTTGACTATCATTTCCAGCGGACCAAATGCAATGCCTAAAACGGCTATACACGCACCGCTTCTATCAAAACATTGAGAATCGCAGGTTCTGTTTGAAATAATGCACGCATTAAAGCATCTCTGAACTCCTTGCTGAATTCGGGATTTGGACCATTAGCATTTCTCCTGATTAAGTTCTTGAGATAGGTAGCGGAAGCTAATTTTTGGCTTTCGGTTTCACCACCTATCCAAAGAGGATTAAATGCAGAAGTATGAGATTAAGTCCAAATTTACTGCTAAGCCAAGTTAAAGCGTGGGCAGAGAGATGCGTAACTGCGTAAGTACCTGTAACGATAGAGAGGAGGGACGTAGGAAAAGTGGGAAGTGTAGAGAGGCGGCCGAGAGCTTCAGTGGCTGAGTTAACAACATTGCCATCAGAGCTCAAGGTTTGACTGAGAAGGTGAGAGATGTGGTGGTTTTCCATAGCCGGATGAACAAGTGGCGGAACCCTAACTGGAGCCGTAGAGCGTAGTTGTATCAAAAGATTCGCGCGCATTTATTTAATAGTCCCGGGTTAACAACTTCATACTCCGTATCTCCTTGTCCGCACTCCGCAATGGCGTAATCGGTAATTCTGTATGTCCAATAGGCTTGGACTCGGGTCGGGGCACCCGGCCCGTGGACCGGCCCGGCCCGCTACTGTGCGGGACCGGGACCGGCCCGGTTCTCGGGTCCGGGTCGGGCCTAGGCCCGGGGTAGGTCAGGTCCGGGCTCGGGTCTCAATTTTGGTGAATCGGCCCGGGCCAAATTGAATTTTTTTTATTTTTTTTTTCATTTTTGGGTTTCCACCCGGGTTGGGCTTGATGGGTAGGATGGGTTTGGGAGGGTGGGGGTGAGGGGGGTGGGTTAGGAAAGCAAAAAAAAAAAAAAAATCCAAACCGGAGGCCCGGCCCGGCCCGGACCGGACCCGATGGCTACCCGGGCCGGTCCCGGGTCCACCATTCTTGAACCGCCGGCCCGCCCGGGCCTAGGCCCGACCCGGACCCGGACCCGGCCCGGACCCGAGTCCACCCCTAATGTCCAAGATTAACTTGGTCACCGATTAACTTTTCTATTTGGAGGGGTATATTGCTTCGAATTTAAAAGTAGTGTATTTTAGGAAAAATGTTTAATAATAAAAGTTGTATTTGAGAAACAAATGATTTTCAAAAATTTAATTTTTAGGGTAAACAATAAAAACTACTAGTAGAAGTTAGTAATGTTTGATTATAAAAAATACTTTTGTGTGATATGATAGGTGAAAAATACTTTTCAATCTAGACTTTTGTAGACATTTTTGGACTATGGGATTTTAGGAGACATTTGGGACATTTGTGGATTTGTCTAGATTTGGACATGAGACATATTGAGACATTTTTGGACTTTACGAAATTAACTTTTCGCTTTAAAATTAAAAGTGTCACCAAGGATGATATTTTCACACTAGCAAAAATTACAATGTATTTAATACAATGAAAGGAAAATGACGCTGTCAATTTTCATCCACGATTTGAACACTAATGCTATTTGGACAATCACTAATGCATCATCCACATATTAGTTGCTATTGTCTCCATGCATTTGGACTAGACCTTTGTTGTTCTTAAATTTCAAAATATTGGTCAACATCGTCCGCTTCAAAAATTGGCCTGAACAAAAATTCTAATACTATTTACCCATCATTTCAATTTATATGTTATCCACTCCGCACGATCTTCTGCAGTCATGTTAACAAATTCAGCTTTTTTTGCTTTTGTATTGAGCAAATTAAGAGCTTTGAAACGATCATCAGCACACAACCCTGGAATCTCTTTTATCATATCCCAACAATTGTAATCTTTTGTGTCGATGGAATCTATAACACGGGCAAATCTGAACTCTTGTGTGCCTTTCACATCAATGGACATTGGTTTTTTATGAAAATCAGCCTTACTTCGTTTGTTTTTTATGGACGAACCTCTGAACGGGGTTGTTGAGACGATTGAGGTACAGTGTCATTCTCAGGAGAGGGTGTCGGGTGGAATCTTATGCACTTGATGGGACAAATGCGTCATTGAAGGGATCATACGCTAATCCGTCCAATGTATTCGGAGTTTCTGTCAAGTCTTCTATTGCATTGTCACCTATTGCAATGGAATGTGCACCTCTAGCAGTGTCATTACCCACAACAATTCTCAAATCTTCATAATCAAGATGTGGTTGTGTTCTCAAGCTTGAGTCGTTTGGATGAGACTAGGAAAATGAATAACAAATTTGATTAGGTAGAAAAACCAATATGTGTAGATAAATGTATGTATTATGTCATAATAAATAGAGGTCACCTTAAAATAATTGTCCCACACTTCTTCAGATGCGGTGAAAAACTTTGAATTGTGATCCCATCCAAAGGACCAAAACCGGAATTGTGTTGCATGAGAGTATTGTACTTACAGTACAACCTCTTAAAGTATTTCTCACGACTTTTGTATTGTTTGTAAGTCATGTCGATTCCAAGGTTTTTGTTAAGTGGCTTTAGTACGTGCAGCTCCACCGTTCCCTTATTTATTTTACCGGAGCGGTCACGCCAATTTTGGTTGGCAGCATCAACCATTAGTCTAAGTAGTTCATTGCTTTCTTCATTGGTCTGATTGCATATCCCGAATCTCTCGTGTTAACTGGACTCAATAACACAAAGTATTTGGATGCAAATAAATAAAAATTAAAGTTATATGTATCGTACTAGAGGATAAAGTAAAACATCTTAATACTAATACTATCTTTTAGCCATTTACAATGTTCAACCTCTGTCTACGTTCCAGGTACTTTTCCCATTTTAGCCGTTTACTATCTTTTCCCCTTCCAGGTTGGTTTGAAAGACATTATTGGTACTTTCCTTGCAAAAACACTTTGATATGTTTTCTAAAGAAAAACATCTGAACTAAATTCCTAATGCTATCTTTTATATAGAATTATAAAAAAGTGACAAACTCCAAATTTAAAATATAGACTGTACGCTAGTTCATCCCTTTCTTATATGTTTGCAGCTCATATATTTATCAATGTTGATGTTTTAATATTCATGCATAGCTAATCCATAGGGTAGTAGAATGGTAAAACAAAATACTGCAGCACATAAGTGCATAACTACCAAACAGCCAGATGCATTTCACAGGAATGATAACTCATTCACTTATATATGGTGACATAAAACCAGAAAGCCCAATCCTCTTTGACAACTTGTGCCATTTAGTTCATTAAACAGACCCTCTCTAGCTTTAGGAATTAGAAGTCTTTGTGGGTAGAACTATTGTTACTCTTTTCTACAAGTACTCATTTCATCATTATTTCAAATGAAGCTTCTTTTAATTACATAACAAATTAGCAAAATAATGAAAATTTGAAAACACAAATTTACCGAAGATCCAAACGGCTCATGTGAAGCTTCTTTAAATTACTTAGCAAATTAATGAGAATATAAATTTTAAAACAATAAACAATTAATCTGGTATAGAGCAATACTTCGTAAAGAAGCATCCCAGTTGGTGTGGATATTGGGACTTTACATATACTTGACAAGTTTAGAATTCATGTTTGTAGCATTTCAGTAAGCCAACACTAATTAATTAACAATAAAACTGATTTTGTATTTCTTTTAAGAATTTCATCGAACACTTTGGAGGCAGACCGTTTCAATACTTCTATGAATGTACAAAATGTTCATTCAAACCAACAATCAATAACCTGACTAGTGCTAATGAGATGAGTTATACCATTTGGAATGAGAATCTTTCGTTCAAGAAAAAGCAAGGGATTGAGCCGAGCTCATTTTTGTTTGAACAAATCCTGATTATCAAACAAGATCGTGGATATATGACTATGGAACTTTGAAAAACGATGATAATCGCAGATATATGACTACATGGAGAAGAAATGTTTACCTCAAATCTCTTCTCCCAAGGGATTTCAAATCTCACGTAAAGCAGTGAGATTTGAAATATGGGATTTGCTTCTATGTTTGGGCTTACAAGTCTGGAGAAGTCCAAATCTTATTTACAATCCATGTCTTCTGTCCTAAAGGAATACACGTAGACATTTTAGGAGTATTAAAATGTTTTAATTAAATACACTCAGATTTCACAAATCTTAAAAAATGTCTATAAAAGTCTCAATTGAATACACCCCTCTAAAGTGGCTCACATTTGTTTCTAAATTTTGGCTTTTTAGCGTTTTGAGTAAACATCTGATGGATAATTGATACTCATATTGTAAAACTAAAAAGATTGAACAAGAAAGAAAGAGAAGAAGTATTGTGTATGAATATAAATTGTGTGTTTTTTACAAGCCTCCTATAAGGAGTATATATAAGGAAATCCGGGTCTGGGTCTATAATATGGGTCCGACATACCCGATTACATAAATGGACTAATAGTATAAAGGAATTTTATCAATTCAGGACCCAAAAGATAGATTAATTATCAATTCAGGACCCGAAAGATGAAACGTATCGGTATAGGACCCGAATGATGGAAAACTATCAAGTTAGGACCTAACGTTTCATAGGTTTTGATTTATTTAATTTTTTATTAATTCCATTACTAATTTTTGATAAACTTTTCTTCACAAAAGTTTATTAGTTTAATGAAATGAAATAATATTTAAAAAAATTTAATAAAAAAATTATGACAACTTAGGTCCTTGATTAATAGTTTTCAATCATTCAAGTCCTAAATTGATAGTTTTCACCATTCGGGTCCTATATCGATGCATTTTATCTTTCAGGTCCTGAATTGATAAAATTCCTAGTAAAAAAAACTAATCTAGAACATCTGAATAATAATAATGTACAATAATATGAATGATATCCGCTAAACGTGTGTGGGCCACTGTCCAGGCCCATTAGTCGGCAGACCGGGGGGTCGGAGTCCATATACTCCATCAGGAGTCCCCCACTCCCTGATTTGAGAGTACTCGAGGTAAAAGGGAGTAGTCCAAATTGTATCTGCAACGTTCTTCTGTCTTTGGTTTCTTCGTCTTTGGCTGATGCAAAAGGGAGTAGTCCAAATTGTATCTGCAAATTGTACCACCCTTGTCCATGATGGGGAGGTGTCTCGTTAAAAACCTTTACTAGGAAAAAAACCCAGTGGGAAAAAATCCTAATAAAGGGAAAAAGAGTACACCTAGCACCCCCAACATGAAACAAGGAAGGTAAGATCCCTCCGACATAATCAATTTTGTCTAACTCAACTCCTCTTCATCCGACTCAGCTTTCATTCATGCGCATGCGTGATATTTTTTGCTCATCCAGAAACTCTGACCCCTCAGTCCCACAGTCCCCCACTCCTTGAGGCGAGTGGAGACGAGGTGAAAATGAGTAAAATCATCTTCGTACCTACACATTTAACATACATAAATTTTTTTCTTGGGGTTTATGTTTCCGATCGGGAGTTCGTCACTTTAAAAAAGTGGAAATGTGAATTGCTTGTTGGAAAAAGTGTGTTAAAAGTGCATTAAATGGTCATTTTGGGGCAATTATTTGAGTGGGGTCCACTTCCGATTTGGGTCGGGTCAAAGTGGTT